AATATTTTTTCAACAGGTTAGATATTGATTATTTATCACTCAAACCCCTTTCTCTACCTGTCCGTTGGTCTCACATATCTGCCATGTTTGTAGTTTGTTAACACTTTTTATGCGTGTTTGTAGTTCTAATTGAATCCTTGTCCACCGCGCAATGCCGAGGATGCACGGATCTGCACTTCAAATTTCTACCGGAAGCAGTAAACCATCCAGGAATCTCTGGCATACTCATTTCAACATACTACAATTTGGGACATACTAATTCTAATTTCGAATACTATTTAGGACGGATAGTATGCGAATTGGAACGCAGCAAGTGACATGGTGTCATCGCTGTCTGAAGTTGGACAAAATAGAAGGCTTGTTCGAGATGCATTGGCGCTGCGCAGACTGATCGGCGTATGACATCACAGACCGATCGGCGTATGACATCAAAGTACCGCGAGTGTGATTAGAGAGCAGATGACTCTTTAAGCTTTTGAATCGCTCTCGCGGTACTTTGATGTCATACGCCGATTGGTCTGCGCAGCGCCGAAGCATTTTGAACGAGCCTAATTTCTAACTGGCATGCACTGCTTCAAGTTAGCTGCCGATCGGTCTAACACACCTAATAGCATGTGAATATGAAGTATGCGATTGGGTGTCTGTTGCTAAGCATCTTGCCGTAACATTCTAACACTGTATCTTTTCACACAACACATGTTTGGCAAACGGTGATAACCCAGGGTTAAGAGGAGTTAAAAAAAAGTGTCTTATTATTTTCTCTGTTTTACATTGTAGACCGTGTAAGTGGGCTTACTGAGCTCATGCTCTATGCTGAAATCTAAACTGAGATCTACAAAGAAACATGTTATGTATGAATAAAAATAATACTTAATATGTAAGTAAAGGGTGGAATCATGTAGTGATAACAAAGTGATTTGCTTCCTGTATACAAGTGCAATGTGAGAATTAAAGACGCAAGTTTTTCTGTTCCTGAATTGGTAGCCCTGACTCTTGTTTATCGTCCTCTGTCTTTATAACTAAAACAGGGAAGACACGACAAAGTGGTGACAAGGATTTTTGAAAAGAACTCTACGTGTGTGAATCGCCAAAAGCAAAATGTAGCGAAGGGCATAAAATAACTGAACGCAGCACAACTGCGGGGCTTGTGAATTGATAAGGAAAGACGAGATGGCTGGCGTCATTGGAAACATCGGACAATTCAATGAAAATATTGAACAATGGAGCTCATACACGGAGCGATTTGAATATTTAGTGTAGGGGAATGCTATTGAGGGTGCAAAGCGATTTGAATATTTAGTGTAGGCGAATGCTATTGAGGATGCAAAGATTTTGCCTATACCTTCCTCAGTGTCATGGTCGCTAGGACTTTCACTTTGCTGCACAGTCTTGTACAGCCCGTGAAATCAGGTGAGAAAACTTATGCAGAGATTGTGGCATGTTGAGTGCACATTTTTCACCTAAACTGTTAGTTATAGTGGAAAGATTTTGGTTTCACAAGAGAAACTAGGAAGAGGGAGAAACGGTAACTGTGTTTGTTGCTGCGCTGAAGAAACTTTCAGAACACTGTGAATTCGGTGATGTTTTGAATGATACGATTAGGGACAGGCTCGTATGTGGATTAAGAAGCAAAGTCATTCAAAAAAGACTGTTAAGTAATCTCACATTGTAGAAAGTCACTGAAATAAGTGTAAGCATGGAGCTTGCTGCTAAAGAAGCACAGCAGTTTAGTAGCTCAGATAAAGTGCATAAATTGGCAGCTGACGTGAACACATTCCAGAATGCACCTGGTAAAGCTTATAAAAATGCAACATGTTATAGTTGTGGCAAAGTTGGACATCTTGCATCTGAGTGTTGGTGTAAAGAATTGGTGTGTCGCAACTGTGGAAAAAGATCGCGTGGAACGTGCTTGTAGAGGAAAACAAAATAGTCCAAAACAAAGATTTAACAAAGCGTCTTGCACATCAAATAAAAAGAAGAGTGTGCATAAAGTGCCGTCAAATTACAAGGAGTACACAGATGACACTGACTCCTCTTTGGAGGAAGTCCCATAAAAATTTTAGCCATGGAAGGAGACTCCAAAGGCTATTGGGTGACACCTGTCATTGAGGGAGAGTCGGTGCGTATGGAAATAGACACTGGTGCTGCTGTTTTTATTGTGTCAGATGCTGTGTACTGCAAAACACTCAGACATGTCTGCTTAAAGCCCACCAATATAGTGTTGAAAACATATACGGGGGAGCTTGTGGCTATAAATGGTGTAATGGATGTGGAGTTGGAATTGAACGGTCAGTCAGCAAACGCTGCCTCTTTATGTGGTAAAAGGAAACTATCCAGCTTTACTTGGGTGAGAATGGCTGGAAACAATGAAGCTGGACTGTCAGACGGTGCGGATAGTGTCAAAGGGAAATACTGGTCTCAGTGTTGTTCTGGAAAAACATGCTGATGTATTCAAGGATGGACTGGGTATGCTGAAAGATATTACAGCAAAACTTGACATCAAGCCTGGTAGTAAGCCTAAGTGTTGCAAAGTAGTAACCAGTCATTGGAATGGACACAGCAATGTGAGACCCCTTTTCAAGAAGCCAAGAAAGCTCTTGTGAAGTCAGGTGTGTTGACTCATTGTAATCCAAAGCTTCCTCTGCAGTTAGCCTGCGATGCATCACCAGATGGTGTGGGTGCAGTGATTTTCCACATCATGCCTTCAGGAGAAGAGAGGCCAATAGCATTTGCCTTGCACACCTTGAACAAATCAGAGCGCAAGTATGCCCAAATGCTGCTATCAGCACACACATATGAGATAAGATATCAGAAGGCAGAGTTGCATGAAAATGCTTTCTGCTTGCTCTCAAGACTACCATTACCTGTGACATGTCTTGAGAGCAAGCAGAAAGACATTTTCTATTTTGAGCAAGTCAAGATGGCTCCAGTGACATCAACACAGGTAAGAAGAGGCACACGGACTGATCCAATTCTGTCTGAAGTCATGGAAATGGTAAAAGATGGACATGTCCCTAAAGACACCGCCCACTTGAAGCCATACCTGACTAGAAAGAATGAATTATCAATTCATTCAGTATGTCTTCTCTGGGGCAAATAGTCATCATACCCCCATCTCTGAGGAAACCTGTCCTCCAGCAGCTTCATGTGGGGCATTGTGGTATGGTGCGAATGAAGGAACTGGCAAGAAGTTACTTTTGGTGGCCAGGTCTTGATGGGGACATTGAAGGGAAAGCAAGGTCATGCCCATCTTACCAGCAAGTGAGAAATGAACCTCAGTTGGCCCCAATACATCCTTGCGACTGGCCAGAAACCCCTTGGCAGCATGTACATGTGGATTTTGCCGGGCCATTTGAAGGAAAGATGTTGCTAATAGTTGTGGATGCCCACAGCAAGTGGCCTGAAGTTGCTGTTATGCACTCTACAACTGCTGAGAAAACAGTAGTAAAACTGGAAGAAATGTTTAGCCATTTCGGCTACCTTGAACAACTTATCAGTGACAACGGGCCACAGTTTATATCACATGAATTTGCTGTGTTCTTACAATGGTGTGGTGTACAACATATTAAATCAGCTCCTTACCACCCAGCCACTAATGGTCTTGCTGAAATGATGGTTCAAACCATCAAACACGTCGTAAAGACATCACAAGGACAAGGTAGCCTGCACCTGCACCTGAACAACTTCCTGTTGTCATACCAAAACACCAACCATGGGACAACAAAGGCTTTTCCAGCTTCTCTTATGCTGAAGCGTTCGTTGCGCTCTGGATTTGACTTACTGAGACCTTCTACAGTCAAAAAGGTGGTAACTCGTCAGCAGCAGAAACAAGTTCATAGGAGAGACATGAAAGCTAAGAGCAGACTGTTTCATCCTGGGAAAAATGTTCTGGCACGCAACTATACGTCAAGACCAAAGTGGGTACCAGCAACTGTAATTGTTCAAACCGGCCCAGTGTCAAATACTGTACTAACATCTGACAAGTTTATCTGGAAAAGACACTTGGATCAACTGTTGCTGGGATCTGCCACTGAGGCTGAGACTTCTGTTGCCACACCCACTTCTTGTTGAGACTCTCCAATGTTCCCAGAAGTAAGTGTGGACACATCACTTACACCAGTGGAAAAAGCTGCATCGCAAGAGACTGAAAACATGCCACAGATGCAAAACTCAGAAGAGCTACCCAAACTGGACTCAGGCACATCTGTATCTGAGTCCATGTCAAACTACTGGGAAATTTGGAAATAATTTTGATACCAGAGTTTCCGAGTTGGGCGGGTCATAATCTTTAAACATGGTGAAGGGGACAGCCATTGCTGCTGTTAATGCTGTTCTCACATCAACTACATCCCTTTGTCTTGTCGCTAAAGTAGTGTATTTATAGGCTAGATATGAACGATCAATAATCACAACTCCAACTTCCATGGGGAAGTCGTGGCCTAATGGTTAGAGTCTCGTACCGGCAGGGATTGTAGGTGGGGGGGAGTGAATGTACAGCGCTCTCTCCCACCTTCAATACCACGACTGAGGTGCCCTTGAGCAAGGCACCGAACCCCCAACTGCTCCCCGGGCGCCGCAGCAAAAAATGGCTGCCCACTGCTCCGGGTGTGTGTTCACGGTGTGTGTGTGTTTACTGCTGTGTGTGTGCACTTTGGATGGGATAAATGCAGAGCACTAATTCCGAGTATGGGTCACCATACTTGGCCACATGTCACTTCACTTCACTTCACTTCATAAGTGGGAAATAGGAAATTTCCGAAAGCACGTGAAGGCAGCATTAAAAACACACGTTTTTTCTGTTCCTGAATTGGTAGCCCTGACTCTTGTTTAATGTCCTCCATCTTTATAACTAAAAAAGGGAAGACACGACAAAACAGTAGGGGGAAAAAAGAAAACAAATGTAAAACAAAACAAAACTTTTATGATCACAGCAGTAGCCCCTTTTAATTTATATCATTACTCTAAATAGCAAAAAAAAAAAAAA